CCCCCCCCACGGTCAACAACTGACGTCACTAACGTAGCAGCTCGCACGCAACACGGAAGTGTCTCCCCCTCCTCCCCTCGCCCCATCTATGATTCACGTAAATGACATTTTAGTTTGAAATTGGCGAATTTCGCTGAAAAGCGACTAGTTTGCAGTTATGATATTTGTATGTTGGTAAAATGACGTTGGTTTAAGAGTTTAGAACATTGCAAGAGTGTGGGAAGGGTTTCTAAAGCCTTAAAATATATACAGTATAAATACTAAAATAAATAGTATACCTTCCCTACTTTGCGGTTTTTCTCTTGTCGGGGGGGGGGGGGGGGGGGGTGGAACCTAACACCCACGATATAAGAGAACTACTGTACATCCATTCTTTCTGATGTATCTACCTACCTTTATTTCAAAGTTTCAATAAACTAAGGGATTGTAAATCTAATCTTGTCCCTATCAGGCTTGAAACTTGGTAAATAAAGCTTGAGAGGAGCAGCAGCACGCGAGGCATTGCTCAAAATGATCGTTTATTTTTAGTCCCACGCCCACCACAACGTTTCAGTCAGGTTGAGGTTCTGGACTGGACCGTTGCAGCATTTTGATTCGTTTGACCCGTTCTGTTGGAGAAAAGCTGCTGTGTTTGGGATGTTTGTCCTGTTGATCATGACCCAGTTGGGTCCGAGCTTCAGCTGTCGGACAGATGACTCCTCAGCTGTACATCTTCTGATGCTTTGGGTTATTTTTACTGCTGCATGACCCAGTTTCTGACAAACTTCAGCAAACATATCTGAAGAATGAGGAAACCCAAAATATCTGGTCTTACCATTCTTCATAAAGTTGTTTTCTCCTGATATTTCTGGTGTCTGTTTACATTTTGTAACATCAGTGAACTAAAGTTACTTCTGCTCACATTGACAGGAAACCGATTTAATCAGCAGCACCTGGCTGCTGCTGATTCTCTTCTTCCCATGAACAGATTGCGTTTTTTACCACATTATGGTCAAACTAAATGCTTTTCTTGATTTGGACATTCTGGTGGTAATTTGTGATTATGAAACTTTTAATCTGACACGACTGCAACACTTTAAAATCCAATAGACCCACAGCCATGCCCTTAAAAATAATCTGGCTTGTTGAGGTTTTAACACTCCAGCTAAACGCTTCATTCGTCCCACAAGAGTCCTGAGGTCCATGGTTCCGTTAGGTCCAACAACCCGACAGAACCGGTTTCATGTTTCGGTTCAGAAGCTTCGTTTTAACCTGACGTCGTTTTTCCAGCTACCGCACGAAGCTAAGCTAACAGTTAGCCGCTTTAAATCCGACTCTTCTTACCCGCTGTTTGGGTCGAAACCACAGAACTCTGAGGCTGATGGACACTGAGACGTGTCATCATCTCGGGTCTGTCTCTTGAAGACAACGTTTCAGTGTTCTGACGACGATAATCCACCTCGTTCATCATCATCATGGTGGCTGTGTTCTTCAAACTCCAAACTGGAGGTCCGTTATGAAGCAGGCCTGAGCCGAACGATCGTTGACCAGAGTAGCACATCAATACATTTCTGGTCTGGTTTCATGGAGCTCTATGCACCCCCAACTCTCCATTTTTGTAAAAACGTTCGCTAACATTTGTTTTCGCACCCCCCGTTTTTATTTTGAACAGGCAAGTGATGAGACACCTATATCCTCCATCCGTCACTATAGCAACCCCCCATCTTTCGCGTTCATCTAAAACAGTGAATCAACTCCACATTCGGTTGGAAAATAAGAGTTATTAAATGATCTAATACAGTAACACTACGACTGTTCAATAAAAACATAATTTTGCTGATTTAAAAAGGCTCTTAGTTTTATGATGTTTTATGGGAGTGGTGGCGCAGAGGTTAGAAGATGGGCCTGTGATCGGAAAGTCATAGGTTCAACTCCCAGTACCTCAACATTAAAATGTGGGTGGAAAAGGTGACACACCCACACCTGCCCCCACCCTCATTCGCCCCACCCTGGGCCCTGAGCAAGGACCCCAACCCCCACCATTTACTCCCTAACAGGTCTCTTTTGAAAACGAGTTCTCGTAACTCAATGAGACTACCTGTATAAATAAAGGCTAAATGAACAAATAAAATACTCGCATACCACGTAGACTACAGCAGTGGTATGATGGTTTTAACCAGGAGTCAGACAGCGAAGCCTCATGAAGACTTCTGAAGAAACTGTGAAACGCCATGTGGTGGCTGATTCTTGTACCGTGACAGAAAGCTGCTCACTGTCAGAGCTGGCTGGCCAGTTCCCGACCATGAACAGTGGACGCCTGCGGCTAAATAACCAGACCGTTTTTTTTATATACAAAATTATGAATTATCTTATATTTAGTATGCACGGCTTAAAGACAGGCCAGAGTTTCTTTGTCATTCGCACCACATGTGGTGCACAGGGTGGAACAAAATTATGTTCACAGGGTCCCAGTTGCATCCAACAATAAAATGTAAAAAGAGAAACAGTAATAAGATCTAAGATATGAACTAAGAAAAACATGATTATCCTGGTTAGATAGTCATGAGTCCAACAGCCTCAGGGTAGAAGCTGTTCCTCAGTCTAGTGGTTCTACAGGTGCGTTCTGTAATCCAAGCATTACGGTATATATATGTATAGACTTGACATATGTGTTATTATAAAATATAAGAGACAATGAGGGGCTAAGTCAGGAAAAGTAAGACCTGGATTTAAAAAAAGAAGAGTTTAGTTCACGTTAGGGGTTGAACGAGTATATAATTTTAAAACTCGACATTAACATAATAAAACCCGAGTAGAACTCGAGTATTTGATGACGTCATAGATCTCAAAATACAAAAATAAATAAATAAATAAAACCGCAAAAAAAGGTAATTATTTACAAAAAAAAGACCAACAAAACATTAGGAGCGTATATTATGCTCCTACCATTTATCATACTGCAAATAAGTCACAGGAAAAACTGAACTATTAGTTTTTATTATTAAACTGCAAATGTGAAGAAACGTGCTGCACGTCAGAAATTAAACTTAAACCGAAACTGGTTCTGGTTCGGTGGATTGGACCCGGTGTTACACCATACTCTGTGACCTGCAACAGTGCAACACCGCCCCCTACGGTCATATGGTGGTCACATAATATGACGTCACTACGGATACTCGACGTTACATTTTTAACCTCGATAGATGCCCTAGCAATCGATGTGTAGATTACTCGAGTACTCTGTTAATGCCCTAGTTCACGTTGAAAATTGTTTGTAGACTGAGGCGTCCTCAGAAGGTCAGGAGGATCATTCCACAGGGGAGTTCTCAACCTCCACCGCACTTCTCAACATAGTTACGTACACATGAACTAAACCTTTCCTAAAAAAAAAAAGCCCTAGATCAGTGGTTTTATTTTTTATGGACTCTCGCATCGTGTCTCCTCAGAGCATCTGGTCGAGCAAATTTTGCATCACAAATATGGCACCAGAACGGTTTTTCTCCCGTGTGGACGAGCATGTGCGCTTTAAGATGTTTCTTCTGCAAAAATCTTTTTTTGCAGCTTTTACAAGCAAAGGGTCTATTTTCATTTTTGTCTTCCTTTTCTTTTGAGTGAATCAAGACATGACGCTTGAGATGTGTCCCTCGGGAAAACTTTTTGTCACACTTATCGCAGGCGAACGGCTTCTCCAACGGCTTCTCCTCCGTATGGAGTTTAGCATGTCTGTTCAGAGATCCCAGTTGAGAAAATCTTTTGCCACAATCCCCGCAAACATATGGTTTCACTCCCTTGTGACTTATCTCGTGTGCTTGAAGATCGCCGCGAAGTCTGAAACTTCGACCACAAATACTGCAGGCGAAGGGTTTTAGTCCCGTGTGAATGAAGGCGTGTTGCTTCAGAACATATTTGGAGTAAAATTGTTTATCACACACCTCACACTGAAACGGTTTCTCTCCTGTGTGGTGCATCATGTGAGTTTTTAAAGTTTGCACATGACTAAACGCTTTACCGCACTGATCACAAGTAAACGGTTTCTCTCCGGTGTGAATTCTCATGTGAAGTTTAAGGTGCCACCGTAACGGAAACGTTTTCCCACAATCAACACAAGAAACTCTTTGTGTCTGAGCTGTGACTCCTCGTGAATTTTCTTTTTTCTTCTTTCCAGAACGTTTATCAGCCAAACCGGACGAGCGTCCAGCTGAATGAGAGGCCATGTGTTTCTGAAGAGATCGCTCCAAGACAAACTCTCTACAACACTCAGAGCAGCTGAAGGATTTCTTGGCACTTTTACGTCCCACTTTGTTTTTTACTCCCGACACAGGTGTTCCAGTTTCACTCCAGTCTTCATCGCTGTCACTTGCTTCTGATCCAGAATCTAACATATCCTCCTCATCATCATCATCATAATCATCACTGTCTTCAGTCTCTGAAGAGACTGAAGGCTTTTCATCAGTTTTTGGCTGTAAGGGAGCATTTGGATCCTGGTTCCTGTCTGGTTCTGGTCCTCCACAGTCCTCTCCATCAGGTTCTGTTTTCATCTGTTCAGCTGAGCTGCTGGTTGGACGTCCTGTCTCTTTGTTGTCTTCAGTTTTGATCTGATGAAGCTGGAATACCTGAGGTTTCTCATCATCTTCACTCTTCACATGAAGCTGCTCTTCCTCTTCCTGCTTTACGTGGCAGAGTTCTGGGTCCTGCTGGTCCAGACTGGAGCTCCACAGATGAAGAACCTCTTCTTTAACCTCCGACAGCTGCTGGATATCTGCAGGAGACACGTGGACACCATATTTAACTGTGATTTGTGTAATCACACATTGTATTGAACTCTTGTAGCACCTATAGGTGTCTTTAAGCAACTTTTTACGTCAGAGACCTTTTTCAGAAACCAGATTGTTTTTTTTAACCCGTCTCTTTCGACAGCAGGAACCAGGCCCAAACAAATTAGAACCTTTGAAATGTGTTTATATTTTTAAAGGAAATGCAAAAGCAGTTGAGAGAAATAAAATTTAAATTTATTCAATTTTGTAATGTTTTCATTTAGTGAAATATTGAGGGTTAAACTGAGTCCTCCTGAAACGACCTGAGCCTGACTGCATATCTACAGAACACTGAACGATGCGATGTTTGAGTTTAGCAGTGGGCAGGGAGGACAGTCCAGGTCATCTTGGTCGGAGAATCCATCAGTCATCCTGCTGCAGATTGGAGCTTCTTGATTCTGTCAACAAGCAGCATCAATCCAGATTATATGATTCACCACTTCAGGTCCTTTGAGTCAGCAGAGTGAGCCGGACCTTCAGGTGTCTGGTTTCCGGCTCCAACACATCAGACATTGGATAATCCTTTTCTCCAACACTATATCCTCTGAAGTTTTGTTCTTAAAAGCCCTTTTCTTGTGGTGTTCAGCAGCTCCCTGAACCTCATACAGACCAACATTAAAGAAAGAACTACCTTTCCTGGTGTTCATCGCTTTTTAAAAAAACAAGTCGCTGCAACGGTCCAGAGTCCAGAAGCTCAACCTGACTGATGCTGCGATGGACCTTCAGAAAGCTGAGCAGAAACATCAATGAATGAAAGCAGCAATGGAAAGAAGAGTGGGCCAAAACTCCCCCACAACCATGTGACTGTAAAAAGTCCTACAAAAATATGTAATAAATAAAAAACAGTTCTGGTGCTGAAGGAGGTTCTACAAGCAGCTGGATCAGAGGCTGGATGTAGTTTTTTCTTCTTTTATTTACACAGCTTTACTATTACGGGATAGATTTGAAAACAGAAAACCAGATCATTTGTATTATTATCTAAAAATATTATTATCTAAAAATATTATTATCTAAAAAATTAGAATATCGTGAAAGAAGTTGCTTTGAGGAAGCAGTTAAGCTCCGTTGTTGATTCTGTTTGTTTGTGCAGTCCATTTCTTTTGGGTTGGACACAGCTAACAGGAACTACTATGAAGAAGACGCTTAACAACAACAACAACAACACGTGCTGGAGCATCAGGTGTCCACATGATGCCCCCTTCACATTTCTGCCTCGAACTGATCTTTAATCAAACATTCATTTTAAGGCACATTAACTGTGTTCAGGTTAAATCTAAGCAAAACTAGCGAGTATAAACAAGTAAATTATTAACGAACGTAGAGACAAAAACAAACCATTCAGGCTCAGAGTTGGATTTCTGTTGTTTATGTTAGCAGAGCTATGCTAACAGCTGTTCTGTAAAGTAAATCTCATTAAATCTGATTCTTCTCACCAGCTGTTTGGTTTAGAAAAACATCCTCCTGATGATGGACACCGAGAGCTTTCATCTCCACTTTCTTCTCTAAAAACAAACTTTAAGTCTTGTTTTGATGACAATCCGCTTCGTTCGTGAAGTTATTTTTAAACGACCTGGAGGCTCGTGGGACTTTAACTCTGCCTGAATCGATCGCACCGATCACCTCACTCTGTAGCCGGGTTCATTTCTGTCACAATAGATCCATGGGTGTATTATACGTAGACCACAGAAACGCTTCACGTCATTTTAATTATTCAACTACAGAATTGTGAAAATGTTTGATGCACGTTGTATTTTGATCAGGCATCGGCTCGGACACCCTTTAGCTGTGTCTCACTGCTGCCATCTTCTGGGGTCAGTTTACTCCTGCAACCTTCGCAAACTAACTTTATTAACCAGACCTGGACTAAAACTGTGAAAAAGCAGCAAAAGTCCAAAGAAAACTTTGAAAGAGTCTCAGAAAGTCTGGAGAACTGTTGACCAAGAACACTTGAGGAGACTTCAAGAAATTCTGGCTGTGCAGAAGGAAAATTAGTTTACTGTTCCTGACATGGTCCATAAGCAGATCAGCAAAATAACGTAGCTTAAAGAACATTTGTTCATTCTGATGAGCTTCAATCCATATTTACCTCCAACAAGAGGTTATTGCTAAAATTAGAAACGTGTGATCTAAAGATGATGCAGAAAAACTGGTCCATGTATTTGTCACGTCTGAACTGGACTATTGCAATGGTTTATTATCTGGGTGTCCAAATACGTCTTTAAAACGTCTTCAGTTGATCCAACATGCTGCTGCCAGAGTCTTAACTGGAGTTACTGGGAGAGATCATCTCTCTCCAGTTTTATATTCTCTCCATTGGCTCCCTGTCAAATCTAGAATAGAATTCAAAATCTTACTTCTAACCTACAAAGCCCTCAACAACCTAGCTCCATCTTATATTACAGATCTTATTGTTACATATTTTACTAACAGAGCACTTCACTCTCAGACTGCAGGTTTACTTGTGGTTCCTAGAGTTTCCAAAACAAAATGGGAAACTGTTGATAAGGCTTTCCAGCTTTTGCAATCCACATTTGACCAAACAAACAAAAAGTCCATGCTCAATAATCCAGGTATACAATCCAACACTTTTCAGACAGGTCATCTGGACAGTTTCTTTTGTTGCTGAAATGTTTCACCTTCTTTCAAGTTTCACCTTGAAAAATCAGCATTCAACATCATCCAGACAGATTTGTTCCGCCTCAAACTTGTCTTAAATGCCGATAAAACCAAAGGGATGTTGTTTTCAAACAGGAAGTCGGTCCCAGCAGTTCTTCCTCCGATTTTATCCTCAAATGGTGTCTCCATTGAGTTTGTTGATTCCTATAAATATTTGGGTATCTTGGTCGACTCACATCTCTCTTTTAAGCTCCACGTGGAAAACCTAGTAAAGAAGCTGAAAGTTAAACTCCAACATTTTTCAGTCAGGTCATCTGGACAGTTTCTTTTTTTGTGCTGAAACGTTTCGCCTTCGATCCAGAAGGCTTCATCAGTCAAGGAAACACACAACACAACTGATTCTTCCTCCAACAGCTTACTCCAAAGTGGAACAAACCAGTTCTTGTGATTAGATGTTCTCTTTCGTACGCCCCTCCTCCATTGCCGGCCCACTTCCTTGTTGACAGTCTTGTCAAACTGGTTGAAAACCAGTTGAAAAAAGTTAAACTGGGTTTCTTTTTCAGAAACAGATCCTGTCTAACTCTGAATGTTAGGAAACACCTTGTATCTGTGACTTTCCTTCCCTCCATTGATTATGGTGACATTATTTACATGAATGCTCCTACAAGAACCCTGCAGATGTTGGATGCTGCAGATGTTGGATGCTGCAGATGTTGGATGCTGTCTATCATGGTGCACTAAGATTCATAACTGGCTGTAACTACCGTACCCACCACTGCACCCAGTATTCACTGGTTAACTGGTCACCATTAACTTCACACAGACTCTCCCACTGGTACATCTTCATCTTTAAATCACTTCCTGGTCTGCTGCCTTCATACATCTCCTCCTACATGTCTCTGTGTGAGTGCAGCTACAGCGTGCGCTCTCAGGACATCATTACCTGCAGTGTTCCCTCAGTGAGGACTGAACTAGACAAAAGGACCTTCTCCTACTCCGCTCCTGTTTCATGGAATATCTTGTAAAAAGATCTGAAGCTCTTGACCTTTGACCTCTCTAAGTGGCTTTAAGAATCTGTTGGACTCCTGGCAGGGACCAATGCAGACATGTTCCTGTTTTTAGTTTTCTACATTCGCCTTAGAATCTGTTTTTGTTCCCTTTGTTGTCATCTTGTTTGTAAAAAAAGATAAATAAAAAAGTCTGTATGCCTTTTTATAATTGTCTATTGTTGTCATCATTCCTTGTTGAAATCAGGTCTCTCTTGTAAATGAGTCCTTGAGGCTCATTGGGATTAACCTGTAGAAATAAAGGTTGAATGAATGAAAAAAAGACTGGGCTTAAGACTTTCCTTCTTGATAAATCCTATAGTTAGTGTTGGCTCGTCATGCTGCTATAGGCTTAGACTACTAGAGAACAAATTGAGCTCATTTCCTTAAATGAATTGTTAAAATGGAATAATTTTCATTTTACACTATACATCCATCCGTAATCTTTTACCCGCTTCTTACATTTTGGGTCACGGGAGTCACCAGTGCCCATGTCCTGCAATCACTGTGCGCGGGGCGTGGTGCACCCTGGACAGGTCTGATACTATTTCTATCTTAACATGTGATTCTTGACCTGCCATTGTGTATCTATTCCTACTAAACCCAGCCGGTCGAAGCAGATGGTCCTCTTGTCCTGATCCTGGTTCTGCTAAAGGTTTCTTCCTCATGAGGGAGTTTTTTCTTTCCACTGTCGCCTTCATGCTTGTTCAAGATGAGAGTTCAGTGATGGAGTTAAACTCAAAGCTGCTCCTCAGATAAATAATGTTACATTAATATTTTATTTATGAATGTTTCTGTTCAGTCCCTGAGACGACTTCTGTCGTGACTTGGAGCTTTATAAATAAACTGAACTGAATTGGAGGGCTAGGATGCTTGAGAGAAGCGTAGCTTGCTGTATTCACTCAAGGAGAGAGCTGTTGGTCAGGCTGCTTCTTGTTGCTCTCTAAAATAGTTACCGATAATCAATCAAGTGTTTACAAATGTAGATAAAACTAGATGTTTAATAACCCATTAAAATACACCAGAATGAACCGTACGTTGAGGGGGTATCAGAGAAACTGAGACGTTTATTTTCTAAACACGTCCCAGTGGCTTTTAAACCCCAAAATACATTAAAGACTGGTTCATCCCAAAGATCCAGTCCCCCGGCACAAACAGAGTAATATTGTGTATGCTGTTCAGTGTCAGGAGGGTGATCAGTCTTACATCGGGGAAACTAAACAGCCACTGGCCAAAAGGATGGACCAGGACAGAAGATCAACATCATCAGGCCAGGACTCTGCGGTCTACACTCATCTCCAGGTCAGAGGTCACTCTTTCAGGGATGAAGATGTTCACATCCTGGACAGAGAGGAACGATGGTTTGAGAGAGGAGTAAAGGAGGCCATCTTTGTGAAAAGAAACCGTCCATCATTAAACAGGGGTGGAGCCTCCAGGTTCAACTGTCCCCCTCTTACAATGCTGTGATTGCTAGTATCACTCAGCCCTCTGTGAACAGTAAACAGCCATCAGGTGCTAATGATCCATTGTTAGGCTGATGGTCCTTCTTGACCATGTGATCAGCTGGTTCTGGTTGTCAGCAGCAAACTGGTTGATCCACTCTGAGAAGGTGCTATTTAAGAGACTGAGCTGAATACAGCTCCTCAGACTGAGGAAGTCTCTTGGATGAGAGACGAAACGTTTCTACTTTTTTTTTTAGTTTGTTTTGTTTTTTGAATGTCCAGAGGACCAGATTGAACTTTTTTAGATTTTTCTACCTGGATTATTGAGCATGCATCAGGATATAAACCAAGGATAATAAATTATCCTAACGGTCATCATCATGTACGGTGTACATTGATGTCATTCCTTCAAAAATAGAACAGCTCTGTGAAGCAAAGGGATTGTCACGATCCGGTTCCATACATATATGAAGCCTACATATAACCGTTTATAGACCGAGGCATCCTCAGCGGGTCAGGAGGATCATTCCACAGGGGAGTGCTCAACCTCCACTGCACTTCTCATCATATTTCCAAAAGAACTAAATCTTTCCTAAAAAAACAAACACTAGAACAGTGGTTTTATTTTTTATGGACACTCGCATTGTGTCTTTTCAGAGCATCTGGTCGAGCAAATTTTGCATCACAAACGTTGCACCAGAACCTTTTTTCTTCCGTGTGGACGAGCATGTGCACTTTAAGATGTTTCATCTGCAAAAATCTTTTTTTGCAGCTTTCACAAGCAAAGGGCCTATATTCATTTTTATCTACATGCTCTCCTGAGTGAACCCGCCGGACGTGACCCATAAGATGCGGCTTTCGGAAAAATTTATTGTCACACTTATTGCAGGCGAACGGCTTCTCCTCCGTATGGAGTTTAGCATGTCTGTTCAGAGATCCCAGTCGAGAAAATCTTTTGCCACAATCCCCACAAACATATGGTTTCACTCCCTTGTGACTTATCTCGTGTGCTTGAAGATCGCCGCGAAGTCTGAAACTTCGACCACAAATACTGCAGGCGAAGGGTTTTAGTCCCGTGTGAATCAAGGCGTGTTGCTTCAGAACATATTTTGAATAAAATTGTTTATCACACACCTCACACTGAAACGGTTTCTCTCCTGTGTGGTGCATCATGTGAGTTTTTAAAGTTTGCACACGACTAAACGCTTTACCGCACTGATCACAAGTAAACGGTTTCTCTCCGGTGTGAATTCTCATGTGAAGTTTAAGGTGCCACCGTAACGGAAACGTTTTCCCACAATCAACACAAGAAACTCTTTGTGTCTGAGCTGTGACTCCTCGTGAATTTTCTTTTTTCTTCTTTCCAGAACGTTTCTTATCAGCCAAACCGGACGAGCGTCCAGCTGAATGAGAGGCCATGTGTTTCTGAAGAGATCGCTCCAAGACAAACTCTCTACAACACTCAGAGCAGCTGAAGGATTTCTTGGCACTTTTACGTCCCACTTTGTTTTTTACTCCCGACACAGGTGTTCCAGTTTCACTCCAGTCTTCATCGCTGTCACTTGCTTCTGATCCAGAATCTAACATATCCTCCTCCTCATCATCATCATAATCATCACTGTCTTCAGTCTCTGAAGAGTCTGAAGGCTTTTCATCAGTTTTTGGCTGTAAGGGAGCATTTGGATCCTGGTTCCTGTCTGGTCCTCCACAGTCCTCTCCATCAGGTTCTGTTTTCATCTGTTCAGCTGAGCTGCTGGTTGGACGTCCTGTCTCTCTGTTGTCTTCAGTTTTGATCTGATGAAGCTGGAATACCTGAGGTTTCTCATCATCTTCACTCTTCACATGAAACTGCTCTTCCTCTTCCTGCTTTACGTGGCAGAGTTCTGGGTCCTGCTGGTCCAGACTGGAGCTCCACAGATGAAGAACCTCTTCTTCTTTAACCTTCGACAGCTGCTGGACATCTGCAGGGGACACAGGAGACACGCTCTAAAAGAGAACATGATCTCTGCTCTCTGCCACGTTCACTTCTCGACTGAAGTCACACGCTCATTACATGCTCCCAATCCCCCTCTTTCTGTGTAAATAAACAACCTAAATTTAAATACTGTAATATTTTAAATAAACGATCCATGCATCATGGACTGTATTTAAATTTAAATTGTAGAGAAGAGAAGTGCAGCAGGAAATCAAAGGGTTAACCGTTCACACAGCTCTGCAACACGGAGCAGAAGTTTGATCGGTGCATCTGGACAGCTCTCTTGTCCTGTGAACCTTTTACAGAGCCTCTCTCTACATACAGTGCCTCGCGAAAGTATTCGGCCCCTTGAACCTTTCAACCTTTTGCCACATTTCAGGCTTCAAACATAAAGATATAAAATTTAAATTTTTTGTGAAGAATCAACAACAAGTGGGACACAATCGTGAAGTGGAATGAAATTTATTGGATGTGTCAAACTTTTTTAACAAATAAAAACTGAAAAGTGGGGCGTGCAACATTATTGGGCCCCCTTGCGTTAATACTTTGTAGCTCCGCCTCTTGCTGCAGTTCCAGCTGCAAGTCTCTTGGGGTTTGTCTCCGTCAGTTTTGAACATGGAGACACTGAAGTTCTGCCCATTCTTCCTGCAGAACAGCTGGAGCTCAGTGAGGTTGGATGGAGAGCGTTTGTGAACAGCAGTCTTCAGCTCTTTCCACAGATTCTGGATTGGATTCAGGTCTGGACTTTGACTTGGCCATTCCAACACCTGGATACGTTTATTTGTGAACCATTCCATTGTAGATGTGTCTTTATGTTTTGGATCATTGTCTTGTTGGAAGATAAATCTCCATCCCAGTCTCAGGTCTCTTGCAGACTCAAACTGGTTTTCTTCCAGAATGGTCCTGTATTTGGCCCCATCCATCTTCCCATCAAGTCTGACCATCTTCCCTGTCCCTGCTGATGAAAAGCAGGCCCAAACCATGATGCTGCCACCACCATGTTAGACAGTGGGGATGGTGTGTTCAGGGTGATGAGCTGTGTTGCTTTTACTCCAAACATTTCGTTTTGCATTGTGGCCAAACAGTTGGATTTTGGTTTCATGTGACCAGAGCACCTTCTTCCACATGTTTGGTGTCTCCCAGGTGACAAATTTTAAACAACACTTTTTATGGATATCTTTGAGAAATGTCTTTCTTCTTGCCACTCTTCCATAAAGGCCAGATTTGTGCAGTGTACGACTGATTGTTGTCCTATGGACAGACTCTCCCACCTCAGCTGTAGATCTCTGCAGTTCATCCAGAGTGATCATGGGCCTCTTGGCTGCATCTCTGATCAGTCTTCTCCTTGTTCCAGATGAAAGTTTAGAGGGACGGCCGGGTCTTGGTAGATTTGCAGTGGTCTGATACTCCTTCCATTTCAATAGGATTGCTTGCACAGTGCTCCTTGGGATGTTTAAAGCTTGGGAAATCTTTTCGTATCCAAATCCGGCTTTAAACTTCTCCACAACAGTATCTCGGACCTGCCTGGTGTGTTCCTTGGTCTTCATGATGCTCTCTGCTCTTTGAACAGAACCCTGAGACTCTCACAGAGCAGGTGCATTTATACAGAGACTTGATTACACACAGGTGGATTCTATTGATCATCATCAGTCATTTGGGACAACACTGGATCATTCATAGATCCTCACTGAACTTCTGGAGTGAGTTTGCTGCTCTGAAAGTAAAGGGGTCCAATAATATCGCACGCCCCACTTTTCAGTTTTTATTTGTTAAAAAAGTTTGACAAATCCAATAAATTTCATTCCACTTCACGATTGTGTCCCACTTGTTGTTGTTTCTTCACAAAAAATAAAAAATTTATATCTTTATGTTTGAAGCCTGAAATGTGGCAAAAGGTTGAAAAATTCAAGGGGGGCCGAATATTTTCACAAGGCACTGTCTTCTAAACTGTAAATCATGGATTTGGTAAGCTGGTCTCTCAACGCAATTGATAAAATTTTCTCGCCGAGAAGACAGGGAGAAGGAGACATTCGCTTGGGGATACACCACGGCTTCCTGGGGCCACTGGAAGACGGTATGTCTCTCTGCATTGTCCACTGAGGCCATAGAAGACACATACATAATTGGATTTATGAGAGTGGGATTTCTACTTTTTGGAATCGGCATGGTTTCTGGCTTATTGACAAATTCGGAAGACGTCGTCAGCAGGAGGTCTAGTTTTCATTAAAGGATTTGAGTCTTTCAGTAAGGGCAAGCAACACAGCAGGATGTAAAGATGATTTGAAATAACTGCTTGTTGTAAAACTAACACTGCATATAGTCACTGATCCTGTCTGATCCCTGCTCTGAAGGGCTGAGGCTGTTTGAGTTTAGCAGTGGGCAGGGAGGACAGTCCAGTTCATCCTGCTGCAGATTGGAGCTTCTTGATTATAAGCATCACCATCCAGACTATATGATTCACCAGTTCAGGTCCTTTGAGTCAGCAGAGTGAGCCGGACCTTCAGGTGTCTGGTTTTCAGCTCCACCACATCAGACATGGGTTAATCCTTTTCTCCAACACTAAAGCCGCTGAAGTTTTGATTGAAGCTTTGTTCTTAAAAGCTCTTTTCTTGTGGTGTTCAGCAGTTCCCTGCCCTGTGTTGAACCTACAGACCAACATTAATTTAAAGAACTCCCTTTCCTGCAGACTGATGAAGTATTTCGGATGAAAGTCGAAACGTTTCTCCCCTAAAGAAACTTGTCCAGATGACATGATTTAACCTTTTTGTGATGTTTCTTCTTAGATGATCAAGCTTACAAACCTTTTTTTTTTTCCTGGTGTTCATCACATTTTTGCTACTTGTCCCTCTCTGTCCACATCATGTTCTTCATCCTGTTAGATTGCACTTGTATGATGCATCCATTGCTGCAGCTGACAGTGTGTAGTTTCAACTGTACTTCCTGCCAAAGCTGCTCTGACTTTTTGTCAGCCTCAGCTCACAGAACTCTCCCATTTCATTCAACCTTTATTTATACAGGCTAGCCTCATTGAGCCACGGGGACTCATTTACAAGAGGGACCTGTTCCAGACAGAACATTTAAAGTACAGACAATAACTGTAGACATTTCAGTGCTGACAGAAACTAAAACTTTATAACAATCATATTAGAATCAGTTTCACCTTATTGATCACATAACATCATCATAAACCCTTTAACGCTTTCGACTTTTAACCTTCCATGTTATAAGTTAGTGTCACACTTCGAGCAGATTTTTGTTGCCTTTATGAACATTTATCTCTTTTTTCTCTCTCCAGCTGTTAAACTAAATGATTATCTTCTATAACAGCAGCAAAAAATTACCTTCACTCTTCTTGACAGCGTCTCGAAGGCCGAAACGCTTTTTAAATTCGAAACTTTCCATCTTGTTGACACACGAAACTTATAATTTTGTGTGCTTGATTGATTTGTTCCCCGATTCTTCGGCTTCATCAAATCCAGTTCCTCTTTGTAACGCCGAGTTTTTTTATGTAAACCAGTTTTAAGTATTTATCATCGGGTTGAGGTTATACTGACGTAAGCAAATTAAATAGCAAATAACTAAAACAAAAACACAGAATAATCAGAAAACGAATAAAAAGGTGGATAACTTTTTTTTTTTTTTTCAGTCTCAGCCGCTTGTTTCCGCTGGGGTCGGACACTGATCTGTGTGACACCGGTTGGACTTCTGTGATGGAGTTTTGCTGACATCCAACCAGTAACGCTTCGTGACTTTTCTACTGACTGTCTACCTGCACGTCGGTATCCACCGGGGGTTTCAGCCGGGCGACATGGCGGACAACATCGTGAGTATGACGACCGGCGGTGTTAGCCGTGCTAACGGCCGCTAGCCTAGCCGGGGTCCGGGAGGGATGAGGCAGCAGAATTAGCATCGCTAGCTAACGTTAGCGTCGAGGCTGCGGCCTAATCAGACTTCTCACTGAGTTCAGCTCTTTTTCACGGTTTCCAAAGAAAAATGAACAAGTGACTATTGTAAACAGTTAAGCCTCGTAAGCTGCTATGTTTCACATTTATAAAAATACCTGAATACATGTTTTGTGTTCTGCTCATTAGTTGAATCCTAAGAAAAACTAACTAAGCCACTTGATCCGTTTGCTGTGGATAAGCCAAGAAGAGAGTGGCAAATAGTTTAAAAGTTGACTGGTTTAGTTTAAAGGTTGACCAGTTTAATGGAAATATCTTCGTGTTGCGCTTGTAGTCCTTCACTGGAGATGGCTTTACTTTTCTGCACAGTCATGTCGCGCAGAAAGGAGCAGAAACGTCTTTGCTTGGTTTGACTCAAAACCCTTGAACAAACTAAAGTTGTTGTTGTTGTTGTTGTTGTTGTTGTTGTTGTTGTTGTTGTTGTTGTTGTTGTTGTTGTTGTTGTTGTAATAAAGCTATGTTTTGACCATGCAGATCATCAGGGTGCAGTCCCCAGACGGGATGAAGAAAATCATTTCTACAAAGAGAGAATCAGCAGCTGCTTTTCTAAAGAAGGTACCAACTGCAGATGCAAAACTTTCTATTTTACTTCAGGGTTTTTGGTCCCAGTTGAAATTCAAATTATTATTTTTTTTAATCACATTAGCATTTCTCATTTGTATCAAGTCTGAGCACAAACTTCCAGTGTCTCACAGAAGTCTTGATCCAACCCTCATTTCTTCATATTCCATCCGAGAGATGGATCCAGAGCGTTCTTGCTCTCCACTTGCTTTCTGGTGGTCTTTGCACGTTTCTTTTAATATTTTTTTCTTGTTCATTTAACTTTTAAAACACCCTAACATCCCATCATAAACATGTTGTTTCTGTACTGCCAAGAAAGCACATTGAACAACCAATAAGTATCAATAACACATTTTTACCAACAGTCTACCACAAAAATATAATGTTCCCATGTCTTTATTTTCAGTTAAAAGAAATGTGTCCTGTTTGTAACATAATGGTACTTTTGCACCAAAGAGGCAGTTCTCACAAAGAAATGGCAAGTTATCAGGAATAACTCTTCTGAGACTAACATAGGAATTAATTTTTCACTATCTTGAAATAACCTAAACCATGATTGTCTTTTAGAGTAGGTTCATCTCATTTCTCTCTTTGGTGCTTCCGTATCTTCTCTTTTCAATCTCATCCTGTTTTTAATTGCACCTAAATGACATGATTCTCTAAATCAGAATTTTTAATTGACTTTGGTTTAAGAAGTTAAAGGTTTTATTGTGCTTGTGTCTTTTTTGTTGTTGTTGTCTCTTCTCCCCCTCTAATGGAGGTGACAAGTAAAAATACAAATGAATATAAAATAAGAAATTAGAGGAACGTCTGTGGTAAAATGATACACAGTTTGCTGTTTGGGTTTAGTTTCTAACTCCTTGTTAATAACATAATCTGAGCAAGACGTCTTTGCAGCACAATGTCAGGAAAAATGAGCATCAGATGAGAAAGGGTTGTAAGCTCAATCACCTGGGTAGATAACAACAAAACAGGTGAAATCGTGTCATCTGGACTGAGGAAGTCTTCTGGATGGGGGATGAAACGTTTCTCACTTAAAGAAACTGGTCCATATGACACCATTTAACCTTTTGTTGTTATCTACCTGGATGAATGAACTTGCAACCCTTTTTCTGAACCACTTTGGCCTTGGTTGTCCTCAGGATGTTTCTGTGAGTAGCAAGTTGGACATCTGTCCTAAAACATTTGATTGTTGTACATGATGGTTGATGGTGATGTGTGTGATGATTGTTTTGCACGTGTTAAAAGCCCAGTTTTGAGATTCCAACAGGAGGTTATCTTGAAACACAACCATTAAGGCTGCCTATGGGACAGATCTGGTTGGTAGGCTGTAGACTGAGGAAATCCTCTGGATGGGGAATGAAATGTTTCTCACTTAAAGAATCTAGTCCAGATGACACCATTTAACCTTTTGTTGTCATCAGATGAGAAGGATCTCACAGCCTTTCTGGACAAACGGCTAACTTTAGCTGCAGGCCTGCGTGCTTTCATACCCCGAGCATTAGACTCGTTTACATATCCAGTCTTTATGTAATGCAAATACCGTAATTCTCGGACTACAGAACGCACCTGTCTCCAAGCCGCACATACTAAATATAAGATAAATCATAATTTTGTACATAAATAAGATGCTCCCGTTATTTAGCTGCAGACATCCACTGTTCGTCGTCGGGAACAGGAGAAGAAAGTAGCAGCTTGTACACCGGCAGTTATGGTAATAATTTTGTGTCCGTCAGTTTTTCTGTAAAGAGACGGTTGTAAAAGGTGAGCATGTCACTCCCTGCGGGAAAACAAACACTTCAGACTTTACTGTTGATAAATTATTTACTAGGAGGACGGGCCAAACTAAATGAGCAAATTCTCAGTAAAAAAACAAAACATGAATAAAATGCAACACAAATAACGGGTTTTGTTTATGCCTGGTCTTTTTTATGTAGAGTACCAGAGCAGGTCAGTGCAGCACTGTTCTGTGAGCTGTTCTGCCTTCGGGGGTGGGGGGGTGTTAGGAGAGACCCTTTCCATTCGCAGAGTGCAGTTCATGCATCACTTTGCACACTAGTCAAAGGAGCAGTTAGACAGGTGGTTTTACAGTCCTGACATGTTTTCACACTATTTAAGCCAGAAAATTGTAATAAATACTACAGTTGAAGTTATTCCTACCTGCTCTTAAATTTGTTTGTTTCTTGTTTCTATTTTGTTCTCAGATTTACACTTAAGCACCCACAATAATATCAGACAACTTTGAAGCAATGGCTTAGAAATCCTAAAATAGATCACACGACTCCAGCAGGGTGGTGCAGCAGCAGCTTATTAATAATGCAGCCATTCGTGTTGCAGAGGTGGTGTAGTTTACAGACCAACGGAAGGAGAGGCCAGCTGCCACAGATGAGTGAAGGAAGACACCAGACTGCTGGTCCGAGTTCTGCAGGTTCCACCTCTGCTGCGAAGACACGCATACATTTGAAACCATGATTTATTTCCTTCTGTCTGACAGTAGACTCCTTAACCCAGAGTTCTTGTAATTTATTCACGAGGATTTTAAAGATAAATCAGCAGATTTTTTTTTTTCCTCAGAAATATCCACTGGCCATGTCTCACTGAGCTGCCACTCTTTAGTCTAATTGGAGTCAAAATTGTGAGAAAATGCACCAATACACACCTTGGCTACAATTAATTTATTTTCAGTAAATGTATTTACAATTTATTTAGTGGTACTTGGTGTGCTACATGAAAGCAGAAACCAGGCCAAACTGATAAAAAAAAAGTTTGTGTGGTGTTCCTGGTGTTTCTGTGCTGATTCATGTTTTAGCCTCGGTGATTAATCTCAGAAGATGTTGTGCATGATGCATGTCAATAACTCACCATGTACTGCATAGGCTTTTCACAGCAGGATGAAAAAATCTTTGGCCAGACATTTCTTTAATTTGTTAACTGGTGTTAGTGGGCTAACGAGCGTCCAGATGACTGGGCTACTACAGCAACGGTAATGAGAGAGACGGGTAGGAAGGTACTTGGTGCGTCATCTGGACTAAGAAAAGATCAAAAGACCTGGTGATGGAATAGTGACGTGCAGGACGCTGTTCAGACAAAGAGGTTGGCCAAGTCGTTTCAAGGTGGAGGTGGGATTGCTTCTCAAATTAGCAAGCTAACGTTTAGATAACAGCATAGGCAAAAGTTTATCCAGAAATAAATCTAACATAGAGGTAAAATATATTGGTGTTAGTAAAGTTATCTTTGTCGTCTCCACTGAAATTCAAGGTTCTTGTCATTTACATCACGTGATACATGAGGTGGAACGAAACCGTGTACACAGCGTCCCAGTTACATCCAACAAAAATACAAATTGTAAAGAAAAACCGTGATGAGATCTAAATTATGAACCAAGAAACACGCTGAACCAAGAATACGCTAAGCACTAATATCACAACACGTCAAACAGCAGCACGAACATGAGTCTGTGTGAGCAGACGAGGACGAACGAACACAGCAACATGAAATAAATCAGCAGCATGAGATCAGCAGCACATAGTAATTTTTCACAGTGATGATCCTGACCAGGGACTCACGAGTCCAGCAGCTTCAGGGTAGAAGCTGCTCCTCAGCCCAGCGGCTCCAATGCTCCCCAACCCTCTGCCTGAAGGGAGCGGGGCAGAAAGTGGGTGAGCGGGGTCCCCCATGATGCAGGCGGCCCTCCTCCTGCATCCGGAGGCGCAGACGTCCGTGATGGCGGGGAGGCCGACTCCAACAGACCCCTGCGCCGCCTCCACCCCCCTCTGCAAAGCCCCTCCCTCATTGCGTTGTCTGAAATCTTTTCTGCAAAGAAGAAACCGCTGCGGTCGGTGTTAATTATTTAGACGTTCACCGTACGTGACTGAACGATGAACAGGGAAGAGCGTTTCCTTGTTTCATTTATATTTTGTAGCGCACGATCACTTTATGGTTATCAAGTGAATAGTGGAGGATAAAAAATGTGCTCACACGTTAGGAAGATGTTTTTATGATTGTCAGCTTGACCTTCACCTTCTCGCTGGGATGAAGTCCCATAAGACACAACGATTATCGACCCACTCGGTTTTCTTCTTACAACCTTATTTAGCAGCGACTCGGCTGATCCTGAACTTCTTCTGTGCCAAGAGTCTTTTTGAAATCTGTTTTGAGTGAACGGTGGCGTTTACACACGTGACGTTATGGACGAACTGCTTATTCCTACAGGCCCAAGCTAACGTGTAGATGTTGGACGTTCTTGTCTCATCAGTGTCGTCTCCTACAGGTGGCCAACGAGTTTGGGTTCAACTCCAACGGGTTTTCTGTTTATCTGAACCGCAATAAAACCGGAGAGATTCTGTCGCAGAACAAGACCCTCAGCCTGCTTAAGATCAAGTGAGTAAAAATAAACTGAAAATCAGAAGAGGTTGGATTTCAGAGCTCAGCTGCAGGTATCAAGAGAAGTATTGATTGATTCTGTATCAATCGATTGATATTGATTCTGTAATTCAAAAGATCGTCTTATAGTTTTTAAATGATCATTTCTTTTCCTGCAGGCATGGAGACATGTTGTTCCTGTTCCCGTCCTCCTCCGGGGAGGTCATGGACACAGCCACCCCACACTCATCTTCATCCCTTCCTTTCGTCTCATCATCATCATCTTCGTCCTCCTCGATCCACCGGTCCTTTTCAGCGCCCCAGGTCCAGGAGGACGAGATCGATCAGTATCTGGCCAAACAGGACGGCAAGATCTACCGGAACAAAGACGCTCAGCTGTAAGACCCGGACCAGCTGCAGACGGCCGAGTCAAACACACGTGCAGCAAAACTTTACGAGTCTGTTTTAATTTGTTTTTATTAACTGATTATAGATGTCGACATGGTGCTCTTGGAAAGTGCGTGCACTGTGTACCGTTAGAGGTAACAGATCTTAGACTTAAAATTTAATGGCTAAAATTTCAAAACGAGCAAACTCGAATGTTTTTTAATTTTTAAAAATTTTTTAGCCTTTTGACGAAGACTACCTGAATCACCTGGACCCACCAGTGAAGCACATGTCATTCCACGCGTACCTTCGCAAGCTGACCGGCGGCGCTGATAAGTGAGACGTTTAATTTGAGTTTGTGCAGCGGCTGAGCCTTCTGTCGGTTCTAACATGGTTCTGATCCCCGCAGAGGGAAGTTTGCAGCTCTGGAGAACATCAGCTGTAAGATCAAGTCGGGCTGCGAGGGGCATCCTCCCTGGCCTGAGGGGATCTGCACCAAGTGTCAGCCCAGCGCCATCACTCTCAACAGACAGGTATGTCGCCATGACAACACCTGGACACGCCCTCAGCAGCTGTGCCTTCAATGAGATGAACATTCATTTATTGGGTTGTTATTAACAAAGTAAAATTAAGTAATTTAGTTATTTTTACACTTCCATTTTGTGCAGGAAGAGTTTTTTTTTTAAACACCATCCAAAGAATTAGATTCTCATATAATTTTTTTCTTGTTATCTTTATTACAGTTATTGTACTGCAGAACCTGCAAGTTTGAAACATGTACAACCGAAAATAAATCCTAAAGCCCTAAAATT